TCGTTTTAACGTCGTTAACTATTTAACGACAGAGTGACAAAAAAACTCAATGCATTAAGTTCAGTGAGGAAATTAAAAACTTTTAAAGTTTAGTGAGTGAAATAGGAGAGAGAGTAAAGTTCAATGATAAATTTTATAATTTACCCAATTTAAAATGTTGGGTAAAGTAAACAAATAGTCCCCGACTATAGGGTATTGCTTTGTTGAGTTTCCCGACTATCGAAAGTCACAAAATAGTCTCATGACTATGAGACGCTACTTTGTTGAGTCCCCGACTATTAAAAGCTACAAAATAGTCACTCGACTATTCATATGTTCCAAACTCATCCTTTTCCGTTAAAAAATTGGCAACCATCTATGCTGGATGTTAACATGCTCATTGGGATATGATAAAATTTGATTCCAAAATCATTTGAGTTGTATTTTGTTGATCGAGTCTCTGTTTACATTATGTCATCGGGCTAGTGCTAAAATCATTATGTTGTCGAGTCAGTGTTTGAAAGCAAAGATGGTACCAGTAGACATCATTAAAATATGATTTTATCATATTTTAGTTAGCAAGTTAACGTTCAGTTCATAAGACCGTCAATTTTTTAACAAAAAATGACGAGTCTGGAACATATGAATAGTCGGGTGACCATTTTATCACTTTTAGTAGTCGGGAGACTCAACAAAGCAATATCTTATAGTCTAGGGATAATTTTGTAACTTTTAATAGTCGAGGGACTCAATAAAGTAATGCCCTATAGTTGAGGGACCATATGTGTACTTTACCCTAAAATGTTTTATGGTTGCAATTTCTAGTATAACCGAAGAAATATCAAAATATCAAATCATTCCACCAAGTCTCTTACATCTTATCCTTGTTCATTGTTATGCGTACTAAAAACTTCCTTTGTGTTATGCTTATCCGTCCAAGATTTTTATTTTTGAACAGCAGGAACCTGCTTAATATCGAATTCTTTGATTGTTTTAAGAGAAATGACTGATTAATATATTTTATTTACTTATTTTTATAGATTTTTTTGAGATTATAATTTTATTGTATTTCTTTTTTAATTTAATAAAACTAACTATTAAGATTATTAGTTAAAATATAGGGTAAAACTACACGTTTAGTATCCTAACTATCACTTTATTTTGTTTTGGTCACTCAATTATTATTATTTTCAAAATCATATATGACATTACGTTTTAATTTCATTTTAGTCACCGACCGTTAAAAAAATTAACAAAATCATTGAAGTGATATTTATTTTAAAAAATTCAATAATAATGTGATATTACCTTATGATGGCACGTCAATATCACCATTAATGTTTTAATAGTGAGTAACCAAAATGTAACGCTTGATATGATTTATAAACAAAAAATAGTTAAGTGGCCAAAACAAAATAAAAGTGATAATTAGGATACTAAATGTGTAGTTTACTAAAAACTTTATTAAATATGAACATTCCCCAATTGTTGGATATGACCTAACAGAGGCCAATATCCAACCAGTCCATGTCATGTTGCAGTTGCAATTTAGTTACTCCCCTGGCTAGCTAGGCACAAAATAAGGCTATTGTGTTGTGTTCAATTATATGCTCAATATTTTCTTTTATATAATTGGAATGATTATAAGGTAGTATATATTTAAAAAAAATTAATCAATTTATAATTAATATATGCATTGCTGACTCAACTATTTAATGAATCTAGTTAGTGGAAATCTGGAGATATTAATTATTTAATGAATCGGCCGTTATCATCGTCAACTAGAATACTCAATTGCACACAGTAAAGTATTGAAAGAAAATGGTTCACGGATATCGTCAATTGCTTTTAGAAAACAAGATGGGAAATGGTGGATTATGACCTATTTCCTTCGCTGGTTTTGGTTCTTTTTTTGTCCTGAACCAATGCATAGTTTTAGGCGAGGGAAATGGTATTAGTTTATCCACAATATTTTAATGAAGTTGACAATACTTGTAGGGGGTGTTCTGACGTGTGTTTTGATCATCATTAGTGGTGTTTTTGTTTATAGATGCAACTCCTGTTATGGATGGATGCTTTGTCACTTTGTCTGCCAACTTTATTTAGTATATATATATATATATATATATATATATATATTATATATATATATATATATATATATATATATATATATATATATATATATATATATATATATATATAGTATTGGAATGTTCAAAAGTTTGGGGACTAACTTAAAATAGATTCATAATTTGGTGATGAATTTGGAATGTTCAAAAGTTTAGGAATCGATTTAAAATATGAGTCATAATTTAGAGATCAATTTAAAATAAAAATTATAGTTTGGGGATACATGGTACAATTAACTCTTAAATTTGGTCATAATATAAGATTTCATATAGTTGATTAGGAATATTATATAATTTATGGACCTCCTATTTCTTAGCTAATATTACATTCTTATAAAAAAAATAGCAATTTTTGAACAATTTCCCCCTCAGTATTATAACTTTTGTCAATTTAATCTTTTTAAAACTAAATAGAATACTAATAAATTTGGATTTATAATTAGACATATATACATAAAATATAATTGTATGTATTAATCATAAATAGTATGCGATTGCTTTGAACATATTATTAATACACTGATTATATTAATAATATGTTAAATATAAAATTTTGATATAGTTTAATAAAAAGAACTTTATGAACTTTGGTACTAATCTATTTTATATTAGATTTATTTTTTAGGAAAAATAATCACAAAAACAATATAATAAAATATACCTTTTAATAAATTTATATTCCACTGTCAAAAACAACAGTTTTATAGTGCGTTTAGTTCTAAAAAATATATGTTATATTCATTTTCTAAAATATTGAACAAAACATATTTGATTATAAAATTAAAAAGTAATTTTTAGAAAATAAAAATAATTGAAATTTTGAAAATATAAAAAAGATATTTTCAGTATTTTCATTAAAATTGTTTTAAAAATAGGAAAACACGATATTTAGATTTTTAACTTAATTTACAAGGCTATGAATAGTTCTAACCATAATTTTTGGTTTAATGATGTGAAATCTTCAAACTTTTTCAAAAAATTTAATTTGATCCTTAAGCTTTTTTTACACTCAATGTTATTCTTAAATTTATTTTTTAGTAATTTATTTTTTAATATTTTTATATTTAATGTTTTGAATATCTTAATAATTACTTATATTTTAAATTTAAATAATTTCTTAATTTTTCTAAAAAACTAAATAGGCCATCAAATTTTCTAAAAATCATTTAGACCCTCTAACTTAATAAAAATTTAATTAAGTCTGTCTACTACAATAACATCGTGAAATGTCACATCAATATCAGATTCGTAGATTGTCATGTAAGTTTATTGAACTATCATGTAAGTGTTATGACGATCAACATTTGACTATGTTGGTCAATGGGTTATATTGATTTTCCCCCACCTAAATTTAGGAGTCCCATCGTGTGCAAAAAAACGTTCAGATAAATATATAAAAGTTTAAGGGCCTTAAAGACCATTTAATATATATTTATTTTAATGGCACTTTAACGAGTTCTAAAAAATATTTTCTGTTTTTATTAGACGAGATAGTATAATAAACTCATTAATATGTCAAGCCCATCCTCGGAGATATCTTAGTACAAGTAATTTACCTGCCCAAAATGAACCTGATTTTTTATACCTCTCGACCTAACCCAACTTTATCGCTGCAGGCCATCTCGGATAGCCATCGCCGAACGGCCACATATCCGTCACTACCCACCTGTTGTCTGATCATTATCTTTGCCGTTACCCGAAACCTCTAAATCCATAAATCCCTAAAATTTCAAATACCCTAAATAATAACCTCTAATCCCTTCTCCTCGGAAAGCAACTGCCCTTATTCTATTGAGATCAATTATGGACAAAGTTGATAATCAAGATGAAAACACGTGTACATGCAAATAAGAAGTATAGTTCGAACGCTTATTTTTCAATTAAGCCTAATGAAAATGATATTTTTGGAAGTAAATGAATACTTGGCTTAACAAAACACTATGGTCACCGTAAAACATATGCCTTAAACTACATAAAGTAGCAATACAAAACTCACTGAATAGAATGCTAAGCCCTTCGGCCAACAAACAAAAACCAGTGCACAATCACACAGGCAAAACAAAGCAGCAGGCGAGAATAGAAGCCTCTCCTAATGCATAGAAACACTATCCTGATTCAATGTAGCCACTAACATGTCTAAAATTATTTAAAATTAAATATAAAATATCTAACCCTATAGAGTCGGATCATGTCTGAACCCGTCAAATTTGATAATTTTGATATCCAAACCATGAACCTAAACCCCACAACCCCAAGCCAGAACAAACACTTCAAACATTTTTCCTCAAAGAGAATCCCTTCACAAGTGATCCTCTGTTAGAAAGAATTGCCATACAACAACAGCAAATTAACCATTGAAACAGGATCAAACAGAGCATAAACTGAGTACCTACTAACCATACAATGAAATCTTATGACCTCGATGATGAATGAATTCATGAATTCCGTCTCGACAACTTATGATGTTTGTCGTGGAAAGCTATACCTTAACCTTAAGAATTTTCTTTTTCTGTCACTTGAGCATCTTTTACAATCCAATACCAACCCTACTAACACAATCATCGATCCCTCCAAATAAAAGAAAATTTTGGAAAAAAGAAAATTAACATAACTGTATTGGATGTATGACCATGCCTGACACACACACCTGCATCAGCGTATCATAAAGAACAGGTACATTAGTTGAGTATCCACTTACCAAACAAAGACACCTTATGCCCTCGACTATGAGGAATCCACAAACTCCGTCTAAACAACTTACGAAGAATCTGATTAGATTTTATTATACCTTAACGAAATTAAGTTTCCTTTTCCTCAGTGAAAAAGCTTATACAAACCAATGCCAGTCATGCTAAAACAATATGTACAAATCAAAGGGAACCTCAGAACAAAGATTTTGTGCATAATCATAATCTGCCCCCAAAATTTCCTTCAACAAAAAGCCCATCGAAAGGGATCCTTTGCAAAGAACTGCCAAACCATAACAGCAAAACTATCACTAGCACAGGATAACCGAGCGTTATCTGATTACAAATTTACCAAACAAGAAACCTTAATGACACATAGGATGAACCAATCCATAAACTCCATCAAGCTACCTTGCAATGTTCCATAATCAAATGCTTAATCGACTAACCGTGGTCATAATAGCCAAGTTTCTAATATCTACTACTATTAAAACAAGACCAAGCCCCAAGCTACAGAATTCAAATCACACCAAAAAAATGCTCTTCAGTCAGTTCCTACAAACATAATCCAAAATCTTCACATCACAAATGGAACCCCAGAAGGAACTCTTCGAGCATACTCCTCATAATCTGCCCCAAAAAACTGCCTCAAAAAATACTCCTCATAAGGAATCCGTGCAGCGAAAAACCTCCAAACAACAACAGCAAAACCAACAGTGGATATGGGATTACAAAGCATTATCTGGGTACCAACCGACCAAATCAGGAAACCGCAATAACTCGGATGACGAACGAATGCATAAACTCCACTAGTAACCAACCTATGATGATCCTCATGACGAACCCTAATCAAATGTGTAAAAGACCGACCCGCAGTTACAATAGCCAGTTTCCTTACAATTTCCCCTACAACAACCATCAGCAGCCCCAGATTACTGACCCACAAATGTTCCTTAGGTCCAGGGAATAATAGGAGTTCCAAAAAGTATTCGACCAATGAGAAGACCATGGCTAAAACATATCCTTTGCTGACAAGAAGTGAACTGGGATTAACATTTGATATCCCATGAATTGCAACTGCTAAAACGTACTCTGAGCTATGAAAAAAGAGAATCGCCACTAAAAATAGAGATAATGGGTCCATTTTTCTAAAACTAAAATAGCTTCCCTGGATTTAAAAGTTGAGTCAAGTAGATTCCTCTGAGTTGGGTTTTGGGGTCACCAACTGCGATTCGACTGCTCTAGTGAAAGATGCTGCGATCTTTGGGGAGGAAGGTGCGCCTGCTCAGGGTATCAACGATCAACATTAGCGAAGATGCCAAGAGTTTTCATCTTTTCAATCTTTCGAGAATATTTTATTTTTTGGTCAACTACAATGATGATAACTTTTGTTTCTAGCCTATCTTAGTTTGATCACGGGTTTTGAAAAAGTTGTTTTCTGCTCACTTACATTGTCGGTTCGTTACATTTTGATCATTGAGCCATTCACTCCTATTAATTTGATGATGTGACGTGTTAGTAAAAAAAATAATTTTTAATTTAACTTTTGATTATTAGACAAATTTCTAATTTAACTTTAAAATTTAGATAAAATACTAATTTAACCATTGATTTTTTTATAAATATCAAATTAACTCTTAATCCAATCGAAGCCCTCGTTGTCGGTCACCACTCATCCGTCACTAATTTTCGTCATCGGTGACTATCGAAATTCATGGGACCCTAAAATTTTTAATTCATTAATTTTTATCTCATGAATGCTAATCTAGTGTCTGTTTCATCAAAAATGCATCGAATTCCAATAACTTTTTTATTCATAGAAGATTTCTAAATCTTTAATTGCTTGCTCGAATATTGAAAAAAAAAAGGAAATGAAATAATAAAAGGTGAGTCAATGTGAAAACCCGCAAAAAAAACATGTAACCAAAAAGCGGATTCAAGATGAAAACCTAAAAAGACCGATGAATATTGAATCAAAGTCAAATGACTGACATACAAGAAATGATCCCACAGAATTTTGATGAAGTTCCACACACCTAAAAAATCATTCTCAATAGCTTTGAATTGGTGAACATTTTCAAAAGACGTACACGAAGTTACCAAGACACAACAACCATCCTGAATAGTTCAGAGTTTGAAGAATCATATCTTATCAAGAATTGATCCCTAAAACATATTTCATTCTCAAATTAACTTAAACCTTGGAATCACCATTAATCTTGACACTTGTTAAAGAGTTATAATTCGAAAACATTAAAAGAGTAATTGATTTGTTAGATCCTCAGTGAACTCATATTTTAAAAAATGTTTCAATTGATCCAGATGAAAACTTGGCGTGAGAAAATGAATTGATCCATATGAAGATACACTCCAGTTGAGAAAGAATGAAGTCAATAAAATCAAAGAGGATCTATGAATAAAGACTTTCCATGCATCTTAGCATCACAATCAGTCATGAGAGTATGCAACTGTATCATTAACATACATTTTCCCTTGTAAATACATCTTTGCATCACACATTTGAAATGTGTATGTTGCATCATTGAATTACAACATTCACTTTCACACTACACATTTTTAAACATTTAAAAATCAACAAAAAATCTCATTTTTCCTCACACGAGGATATTTTGATTTTGTTTCAATTATAATATCACAGTCCTTGTCACACCCAAAATCAGATTTAATATTTTAGTCTCGATAAATCAAAATTCTTATTGGCTTCAATTATTTAATTTTGGACAAAATGAATAAATTCTAAAAAGATATTGGCTTATCTTGTAGTTTTACCAACTAATTTTTATAATAAATTTTCTTCAAATTTTCGGTTTTAGAATTCTGTTTAAAGTGTAATTCCGAAATTTGTTTTATTTCAAGTTTGTTTCTTTTTTATCTCATAAATTTATCTTATTATCTTAAATTGTTTATTTTATATATTATTATATTTATTATTTATTTTAATTTTAAATATATTTTGTAAACTATCTATGTTAGAGTTGATCTTTAAATAGGATTTCTATCTCTGTCTCTATTTTAGTTGAATTTGATCTTATCAATTTATAAAATACTTTTATTTTCCCTAAACTCTATATATTGTTCATAAATAAAGAGATAACATATTCATCTTATCTCTTATTATTTCGTTTCATTCTTCGACTATTAATTTAGTCATCTTTTCTAAAATCGTGTAGCCCCTCTCCAATGAAACCTTCGACTCAAGATTCCGACCACAAAAGTCTTTGCTCGTCAGTATATTTATTGTTATACGATTTAAGGTGCATGTCTTGCCGTGCTACAACCGTTTTAATTTTGTTTAATAGTTTTTCTGTTGAATCTGAAATAATTAAATTCTTATCGATGTTGTGATGATGTATCTGAATCTATGTGTGTCTTCATCTGTTGCTGAATATGTTATGTGATAATTGTTTGACTGGTTGAAAATTGGTTTGAAGCATGACTGTTCTGTGATATTATTGTATTAAATTCAATCCAGATAAATATGTTATGTGACACATGTTATATATCGACTTTAGAATTTATGCTATACATTTTGACTTTTATATTATGTAAATATTTTTATATTTGGATCTAATCGAAATTCATGTATAACATGTTGTGATGTCATTCTGGGTTGGGATTGATATGGGAAGTTCAGTGTATTCACCTGATGGGGTGAATTTTACTTAGGATTCAGTGGCCTTTACCTTTTTGGTGGATCCCACTTCGAATGGTGTGTAGTAGAGAATGGTTCTGGGTAACCTAGTTGTCGACACAATTTTTCACCCGGGCGGGGAAAGACCGATATCGATGGTTTTCTCTTTGAAAATAATTTTCGAAATGTGACACCATAAAAACCGGATGATTTTAATAAAACATTTTTTTTATCAAAATACAGAGTTTTGGGGATCTACGAAAATCCAGAAATCGGGTTCGGCAGTCAGTTACGCGTGGGGAAGGATTAACACCCCCACAAGAGCCCAAAAATTGGTACCTAGTTGGTTACCCTATATTTAAAATCAGAAATTTTCAATTTGATCTTTGTTTAATTTGAAAACATTACAGATGCAAAGTTGAAAAGCATATTCGTTTATTGAAACCGATAGTATTTGGTCCTAGGTGTAAATGCGGGAGATAGGCTATTGTGCCTAATAACCGAATATTACATTGTTTTCAGAAAATCATGATGTAATCTTTGAAAATGATGTCGACCTATTTTGGAAATTACCAGTAGTCACCCTCGGAGCATGATTGCGGGAGATATACTATTAATTCCTTAATAAGTGAACAGTGCCTTAGAGTTAAAAATAAAATGCGATCAACAAAAATTTTATTTGTCCTAATTAAACTAAAAGTAAATTAAGGTTTTTATAGCTTAAAGTTTCAAATCATGAAAGTTAAAGGACCTAGAGGCTCAAACCTAGAAGTATAGGTTCTCATATTAATCCTATTTGATTTTTAAACCGGTTATTGAATCGAATAATCGAGATGGTCCTTCGAGCATTTAGGCGAGGGCCAAATCGAATTATTCCATAAATTAAAAGACTAGTTTGAAATCTAACTAAAAGTGGAGGCTCTAATATTAATCTTAATTAATTATGTTAAAAATAAAATTCTAATCGAAATTCGGGACTAAAAAGTCAAGATATAAAATATCGAGTTCAAAAAGAATTAAAAGCTTAAACCTAAATTAATAATTTCTAAAGTTGAGGACTAATTTAATCTAATTTTTATCTAAATTATTAAACCTAAATTTTTTTAGAAAATATTAATTATTAATAAATTTTAAAATTTGAGCAACCGATTCGAGTAATCGGGCATTTTATGCGAAAACTCGACTCGAATTTCTCCCTAATTAAAACTAATGTGAACTCCTAATTTCTAAGTTTGATCCAAATGTTAATCTAATTTAGAAATAAATCTAAGAAAATAAACCATGAAACAAAACAATTAATAACAAACTTAATTAAAATAAAAATAAAAAAGTACAATAATAAAAACAATACATAAAAAAACTTGAAATAAACATAAATTAAAGGACCTAATTGCATTAATATAAAATGACCATGATTAAAATGCAAGAAAATAAAAGTAGCTAAATCCAAAATTAAAATATGACTAAAAATGAATAAATTGTAAATATCACATCCAAATCATAATAAAATAAAAAGCATAATCTAAAACAGTGGCTAAAAGAATAATCATAAAAAACAGTTACTAAAATAAAATGAAGTGTAGGTTAATATGCTTAAATGCAAATACATAAAATGCTCGAAATAATAAAAAGCTGAAATAAAATATAGCAAAATTAAAGGGAAGAAAAATAAAATGCTGAAATTTAAAGTGTTGGAAAATAAATAAAATAAAACAGAAATAAATTGCATAAATTTAAAAGTTAGGGGTTAGTTTGTGCAATAAAATAAAATGTTAGTAAGTTAGCGGTTAGGGGTTAGCAGGGTTCGGACCATAATAATGTGGGTCTTACCCTAGATCGGGTAACCACAAGGTCGAATCGAATAATGCAATAAAAAATAAAAAAATAAAAAATAGTGGTTAGCAGAGTCCGAACCATAATAATGTGGATCTTACCCCGGATCGGGTCACCACAAGGTCGAATCGAATAATGTAAACAAATATATAAAAATAAAATAAAATAAGTTAGTGGTTAGTAGAGTTCGAACTATAATAATGTGGATCTTACCTCGAATCGGGTCACCACAAGGTCGAGTAATAAGAGAAAACAATAAATAAATATATAAATAAATAAATAAACAATAGTTAAAATGCAATAAAATAAAAGTTAGTAGTTAATATGCAATAAAATAAAAGTTAGTAGTTATAAATAAATAACATAGAAGAACAGTGACCAAATTTAAAGTTAGTAAAATCAGCATGCATATTCGAAATAAATAAGAAATAAGTTACCAGAGTGCAAAAAAGGCTAAAAAGCGGGGGGGCTGACAGGTGGTTTTCCCTTAATAATGACCAAACAATAAAAAACGTTGAAACTGGGAGGACTTATGGGCAATTAGCCCTTAAAATAAGTGACCAAAACGTGAAACGCTAAAAACCCTAGAACTATGCGTGATTTACCCAAATATCAAAACAAACAATTCCCCTCTTTTTACACTAAACAGAAACCAATGAAGCATCCTATTTACCATTGCAGCTCACTATAAACCACCACCAATGCCGACCGTCGAACTCCGGCCAACAATACACCCACACCTAACGCTTGCCACAATGCGGGTGGCCAGAGAAGTCACCTAAGCAAGGCAAAACAACCCAAAAAAAACTTATTTCTCTTCTATTTTCACGTTGGTTGAACCCCCAAAGAGCACGA